TCTATGAATTGGCTTCATTACTCTGCTCTCCTTCCCACTGATAGCTGATGTGTGGTGAGCGTTCTGGCGCACTATGGCTGCTGTCACATCATCCAGGTGGATGTTGGTGGTGGGGGAGGGGAGTCCCCATTACCTGTAAAGCCCTTTGAGTGGAGTGTCCAGAAAAAGCACTATATAAGTGTAAGCAATTATTATTTATTGTAATTGCCAGCATCTACTAGCAGGGTAATTGCAGCAGGCGTAGAGGGGGGGTGGTTTAATAGTACAAAGTAAACCGCAATCCAGAAAATACAGAAAAATGCATATACAAGGTAAACAGTGTGTAGTGCAAAAAAACTAGCACAACAGGTAAACGGAGTGCAGATCTGCTGGGTGGCCTTAGTTATTTGATGCTGTTTTCAGTTATTTGATTGCAAAGGGGAAGTCACAGTAGTGGTTGAAAGGGGGTGAGGAAAGCTGAGTTGAAAGAGATGATCAGGGGAGCTTTCAGAACAGGTGAGTCTTAAAGAGGTGATCGGGGACTGCTCAATCTGTGAAGGCAGGTCAGTTCACCGGAAAACAGCAAGATTAGAGAAGCAACAGACTCTGTATTCTTGAACAGGGAGAGTGGCGGGGGGGGAGAGACAACATACTGTAGTCTGTTAGTAGTCAAACATAACAATGTTAAGTAAATTCAGAAAAGAGATGTACACAATTAAAATAATGCAAAAATTGATATTGTATAGACTTTATTTGTCAGTTGGTTTAGCCTACTGGGGAATCTTATGCTGTCTCCTACTCCAGCCGACATCCAGTGATGAGTAAAGTGAATAAACAATGGATGGATTAAGTGCATTCCAAATACCCCCAAGGCCAATGGCACTGGAGGGCATGCTCCCCTTCGGCAAAGAAAAAAAGTAAAAGCTGTGGAATGAGATGTGATGTGTACAGCGTTTTGACCATAATTAATTATTTAAAGCATAATCTCCTTTCAAGTTCCATAGAAATTCTTAGCCTCATTTTCCAACCCAGTCAAGAGCAAACAATATAAAATATAGAACCAGGAAGCGATTATGTTGTCTCGTTAAACTGGTAATGTTCCTGCCTCTACCTCGGTTTTCCAAATTCAGCTCCTATTGATGTTGTCACTGTGTGTTTGATGCTATGTGTAGAGGTGGTTTTCTTTATTACTTCTATATGAAAAAGCATGGATTCAGGTTTTCTCTGGAAAATGAAACAGAAATCTAAAACTTGTTTTGCCACTTTATTTGGGGTATTTGTGAGGTCAAATTACATGTGAAAGAATTGTGGAAATACCTGTACGAGCAGTTGAGTGCCAATTCCCTGGTAGACCATTATGTGCTAAAGGGAAATCTATTGTTTCTTTCCTTCAAAGAAAAGCAAAGGGAGTGGAGTAGCAGAGTTTCGGGAATGAAACAGGGAAGAAAGAAGAAGAAGCAGCAGGGTTTTCAATGAGCTGGCAGAAGCAGGGAGGCCAGCTAAGAGTCTAGACAAGGCAGAACTAAGGTCTGGACAAGAATCTATGAGGGTTAGTTGGGTCACAGGGGTGTGTATGAATGGAAAAGGTGGAGGAGGATTTAGAGAGCTGAGGTGAAGGTAGTTTGAGAACATCCAGGAGATGAAGAAGAAGTATTGGAAGCTGAGGGTAGTACAGATTAGTACATAAAGACATCACTGGCAGAGAGATGGTGTGAGGAGCCAAGAGGGTAAAAGCCACTGGCAGTGACTGTAGACCGAGAATTGAGGGGTCGCAGAACTGAGCCCTTGGGACACCTCAACACTGGCTGAATTCTAACATTTATGAGATACAGCATGAGACACTGCATGTCTGCATTATTAACAAGGTGCAATGACTTCTTTCTAAATATTGTATTATCTGTAATTCTGTTACAGAAATAATATTTGTATTTGTAATATTTGTATTAAAAAATTGGGCCTGTTCTTCCTCTGATAGGACATTGAGAGAATATCCTGTGTCAATCAATATTAATGAAGGTTAAAGAAGTACTGGTCTCAGGTCAACATTGTTAATCACGGGCATTTAGACAGAGAATGGATATTTATATATATATATTCAAGTAGTTGGAATTATTTTCTATAAATATCTCTTCAAAAGCTTCTTTGGTACACAGGCTCCTCATTTGGATGGGGGTGAATGCTGAATATCCTGACTAACCTGGACTGACTGGATCAATAAAACTACCATGAATGCCTGCTGTTTGTTGACAGGAGTATCAGACACCGCTAAACCTTCCCTAGCAGTTCTGTTTGCAGTGAAACATTTAGCGTGTTTGCAATACAATCTAACCATATTATGACAACAGCAAAAATTAAAGAGAACCAAGAAGAGGGCAATGAGAAAACATATTTCTGTAACAGTACAAAATTGAAACAAATGTGGATATCCTACCAGTTAATGATGACTTGGTGCATAAGGGCAGCACCTAGGATTCTGCAATACTTGTTAAGCTGCTTAGGTAAGGTGAAATCACAGTATTTATTGGCAAAGATGATTAGCGAGGTCATCCATGCTAAGAGCCCTATGTTCTGGGAAGAGTTAATCCTACTGTAGATTTTTTTTTGAAGTGTTACTGCTCAAATGGAGTTCCTTCTTCTAGAAAAAAGGGTCCGGCTTCTTCATTGTTCTTTGTGGTGCCCTGTTCAGTGTTCCTGCCCTTTACTGTAAAAGCACCGGGACATTCGACACAACCCTTCCTTCAGAATTCCTTCTGGTATCGGTTCCTTAGTATAGAGAACAAAACACATATTAATGCTTGTTACTTACTGTAGAGAAATGATGAATGTTATGAATGTGTCATAATTAACTTAATAAAATATATATTGAGCATTTATTATTGGCTAAATGTAACACATAGAGTACTGGATGTTTTATACATTTGCTATACCGGATGTATTAAGTGCTGGTATGTCCATCATGAAGACTAGTACATGCCTTTTTGTTGACTCATATAGTGTTACTGAGGTCTAGACCAAAGTCATTTTATCTTTGCTTTGGTAAACTTGACTTGTTCCCTTTATCTATGTCCTCCTGCTGACATTCAAGGCTCTGGGAAGCACAACATTCCTTTAGCCTTCTGAATTCGTGCTGCATCAGATTTCCATATATGAAACAACAGAATGCTTTATTCAGTCTGGCTGTCTGGTTCTTTTGTTAACACAAGATTTGTCCACACCGCATGTTTGTTTTATACTGAAGCACACAAAAAATGCCTACACACAGAAATCACATAAATCTACAAAATTATTACTTTCAAGGCTTATTCTTTCAGTAGTTTTGCATTCACTGGCAGGCACTCAGTGTACCAGACTGTATGTTTTCCAGTCTGCCTTTGTTCAAACTTAAAATGAAAAGTTTTTATTTCAGCCAGGTTTGTAAAAATTCCTCAAAAAGATTCTGTTCATACATTAGGCATTATACAATGGGATGAATCCTGAAATTATTGCATTAAGACTTTTTTTCTTGTTTTTTTTAATAACATCAGTGCAGTTGGAAGAAAATGTTCCTTGATTTAATCTAGACAGTCCTAAAAATGATCTGCCAGAGCCGAGAAAACAAAAGATAAGCTGGCACTGAAAGAAAGCTGTTCAGATCGTCTTGTTGGCTCATTGAAACTAGACAGTGAGATCAGGACACAAAAGTCTCGTGAAGCTATGTGAAAATACAAATCAAATGCTTTTTTGATTCAGACCATAGCAACATTTAATATCACTCGGAATTTGTAAGCATACGATGTCCTCCCCAACTCTCAGGCTGCTGTCCAGTTGTTTCCTTTTCTCCAAAAAAACAATGTCTTAAGCCTAGAAAAGAATGTATAAATATAGCTTGTCAGGCTTTTTTACTATGCCCTGAAAAGCGATCCTTGTGACCCCTTCACATTCAAGGTGACGAGAGCGGAAGCTGAGCTGTGAAACCGCTGCAGCTCTTTTCACACCGATTAAAGAGAAGGGCTCAGAGCAGGCGCGTGGAGTTTGGATGTGGTTAAAACCTTAAACCTTTGTTACTAGCACCAGCCCCAAAGTGCACATATAGTTCTACAATAACACAGAGGAAATAATGGCGGACCAGCAGAGCTAACACAAAAAAAAAGTTATTTCGGCAGTCCGTTTAGACACATTTCAGTTTTCAAGATTTGTAGCCCTGTAGCTGTTAATTACACCTTAACATTTTGTAACAGTACAACAATGACCGCAGTGTTTTTGTCTTTATAACACTTCTTTGTCTTTTTGACATTTTTTGTCTTCATGCCCAATCCTCTGTTCTTCTGTAATATGTACTGATTATCACCACCTTGATCTTTGGTTTTCCCATCCCACTACACACTAGATTGTAAATCTGAAAAACAAACATGCTGATGAGTATGATCTGACATTAATCCATGTAACATATATCTACAGTAGATGAAGGTGATGCTGTTTTCTAAGATGTACATAAAGTATATGAATACTAATGAACTTCACGTAAGGCATGATAGTACTATCTAGTACTCAGTATAATGGTGAGTATCTTCAGCTCAAGATACAAAGATTTCTGAAAAAAGTGGGTGACTTCTATGAAGAAGGCTCTACAGCCAAAACGTACAGTACTTCTCCTTTTTTGTTTTTAAGCATGGAATTAACCTTTACTTGTTTCCAGCCAACACAGGCTGACACTTGCTGACAAACATCTTCAGTCTCTCCTGTCATGTTAATCACTTGAATAGATACTCGGTATCTGACCACTTGTGAAGCTGAGATTCTTCTGTTTGTCACGATGTGATAAGTGGTGAGCACACAGCAGCTTGTGACATGTGGAAGATTTGCGAAACTCTTCCCCACACCTAACCTGTGAGAGCTATGCCACCTCTTCCCTGTGAACTCTCTTCGACTTCAGTTCTCTTTCCAATTCCATTCCATCTGAACATTGGTAAAATGGCAAATTATTGTCACACAAAAACAAGCCTATCTATCCTGTAGCATTGGAAAGTTAAACAGGTTGAGTCTCAGACTGCTCTTTCAAATCAGTGGATTCAGAAATAAGTCTGCACTGTTAAAATGTTTTCCACGATACAGAACTAGGAAAGCCAGTGCAGTAACTACTTTTTAGTTTTATTTCCTTTCACAACTTCACTGGTGAACCCACAACAAAAAACGGATCTTAATACTTGTGGGTTTCCTTCAGCTGTCAGGAAGGAGAGGATCTGTGGGCAGTATTCCTGTACCCTTCCCAGAATCTGTAGTTGCTCAGAGCTGATTCAAAGAGTTTTTAAGAACAAAAGGGGAACCCTGAAGAAAGGGCACAGGCAAGCCAAGACTTGGCTCACCCTACAGATGTGAAAAGCAAGGGTGTGTTTGTTTTGTGATGCCCGCTTAAAAATAACTATTTCAAAGAGTTGTTGCTTTTACACAACACTTTATCTGCTGGTATTTGTTCTGGGGAAAAAAACTGTTCCCTGAAATCAGTGTACCGGTAAAGACTTGAATTCCTACTAAATGTTTCTCACTGGCTCTAGAAAATTACAAGGAATGACCACGTATGACTTATTTTTTAGTCCAGCAGCTGAATCACGGAAACTAAAGGAACAATTAGTTTGAAGTTTCAAGATATTCTTTTCCTTTCACTGTGAGGTCCCAAACATCATGCCAACCACATTCCTATACTGCCTTTCTTAACTTGTATTGTTTTGTAAAGTCTGCGTTACTAAGTCTATGTTGTTGACAAACAGTGAACGGAGAGGAGGAAAAACAACTGTGCTCTAGTTTGGCTCTTTCAGAGGAGCCGTGTAAACACTGTAAACCAGAGGACAGGAATCTAATTAAAATACCATCACTTTACATAAAAGAGCGCTGGTACAGTATATTCAACTGTTAAAAGGTTTTGTCTTTGTAAATTGCACAGGGGGGTTGTTGGTTTTTTCCCTCTTAATATACACTCGGTAATTAAATTTCTGCTCCACTGGCCTTTCGATAAAGAGATACAGTAAGTTTCTAACACCTTTATTTTAGTGCGTACCTGTAAGCCACCACTTTAGTAGTGCCTGTGGAGTTTAGTTAACACAACCTGTTAGTACTACAGTACATCCGCAACCCATACGTTATTTATGAATCATGCAGTAATTTTAAATCGCGATACCCTGTATTGATTGTGCTTTAGTGATAAAAGGCAAAACGTCGCTCGCTAGCCATTATACAGACGATGTTGCTCATCTCAGCGCATAAAAAACATTGACACATGGCACTACTAACATTACGTGCCAGCCAAAGGTTCTGTCACAGAGCTGTAATAAGAATGATCAGTCATAGAAAAAGGTGTCTCTCGGGACAGCTGCTTGAGAACAGGAAGCAAATGTATGTATCATCAATGACGCATCGTGTAATAATGTAAAGCTTTCGGTTTGTTTACACGCTACCTGTTAACAAAATTATTCGGGTTTTATTTTAGCTATTAAAGTATTAAGGTTCAGCAAGTCCAAATGGGAATCTCGTGTGCTCCATACAGGTGTACCTAACACGTTTTTACATTTGGAGATCTGTCCTGCGGAAAACTGTTCAAGAGCGTCTAGCGACAAAATGTTGTTATCGTTTTTGAAATTGTTCGGATGGCCAAAACAGTACCTGTCGCGCGAAGGTTTCACTTTTTATTTTTGAGCTCCTTAACTCGTTCATTCTGAGTCATTCGCAGGCACCGATCTCAGGCGACGCCTTGCAAGTGTGCGCTGAAGTTCACAAGTGACGGCATGACTTTTGGGATTGTCCAATTCTTTTACCTGGAGCAAGACAAAGCACGGGTCCCGGATCGTAAATTGATCAATGTTCTAGAAGTGTTACGTGTCGCATTATCTACGCATTACTCTAGATTCTTGGTCTGTTAATGCCAATCCTAAAGTTACAGTTTAAGCTAATCGATCGTTTTTTGGAGTGCAACAGAAGAGTTAAGTGGTAGAAACTCTTCTTTTCCTTGACGCTTGCTTCCGGGTACTGGGCGAAATTCCTCAAGTTTTAGACAGAAGTGAAACATGAGCGACGAATTAATAGAAATGGACAAAGTGGAACCGAGAGGAAGCAGCGATTCTTTACACTTGAAACACCGGGTAAGCAACGTGTTTTTCTTCTTTCAGAGGGGGAGCTTGTTTGTCATTTTGCAAAAACTCGCACAGATGGTAACTTACCGGAGTTGTACGTCTATTTTACAGGATTTTGGTACAAATAAAGTTGTTATGGTTATACGACCTGTAAGAAGAAATGTTCAGGTATCTGAGTTTATGATTTTGTAGATTTCTTTTAATATGTGTTGTAAAACAATTGTATTGACACTCCCACACACGAACAGCACCTTCTATGGGTAGTTTGAATTTTCAATATATTGACACACAACCTCTATAACTTGTGATATTTGTTCTCAGGTATCTTCTTTCATTATTATACTGTCTTTAAGTGCTACACTGTTTACTTCTTAAAGCTTTCAAAACTAACAATACATGCTTAAAAGAGAAAACTTATGTTGAGAGTCTATATATTTTTAAAATGATAAGTTGTTGGGCGTTGTGATATATAGTATCTTGTGAGCCTTTGCTAGTACACACTGTAAGATTCACCGCACAGTGAATCCCCTAATTGAAAGGTGTTAAATACGTGTATATAAGAAAGGAACTGAACACTGAAAGTGCATCCTGCACATCCTCATGAGAGTGTCTGACGCTCTTGCCTGCGTGCGCTTTCATCTTGAACTGGAATGTTTTGTCATAATGAAATGCAGAAGACAGCTCGTTTCAGATTACATCCAATATTTTTCTTCTGAATGAAATCGTCTGAACGCGCTTCGAAATGCACGGGTTGCCTACAATATCAAAGCCACATTTTCATACCAAACTGGTTTCTGGGTCCATACGTGGAATTTCTGAATTCAGTGTTTAAAGCACGACGTTTTTGAGACGTGTTGGGGCTCAGACGCGTTACATGCCCTGACAAGTGAAGGACGGCAAAGCGTGGGAAAATGTGATTTGCTACCCCTGGGGCAGTCGGTTTTCCTTTGGCTATGTGTTGAAAACAACTCAGCATCTAACAACGTAAACATACTAAAATAGAAGTCAGTAACATTGGTACAACAAATAAGCTTAAGTAAGGACATCAAGCTATATTTGGGAGGTATCATCAAAGACCCTTAGGGAAATCACTGCTGTCACAGATCTCTTGGAATCAAAACATGCAAGTTTACTTCCTGACGCTGACCAAGTGTGCTGTTGCCTTCATTGAACTGTACAACAATGACAGTGATAACATCCATTCATTTTCTAACCGCTTTATCCAGTACTGGCCCATGCAGGAGCCATAGCCTAACCCGACAAGCAATGGGCACAAGGCAGGATACACCATGAACGGGACACCACTCCATGGCGACATAGACATACTCACACCAAGGCCAGTTTTCCCAGACACCAGTTGACCTATCATTATCTTTGGACTATGGGAAGAAACCGGAGCACCTGACGAAAACCCATGTGAACACGGGGAGAGCATGTAAAACGCACACAAATATCACCCCAGAAATTAAACCTAGGGCCCCAGGATGTATGGATTAATTCAGTTAAGCAATTTGAAGCCCAACGTGATGGAAAACCACAGACACTGAAGTTAAGACCTTAGTACTGTATAACATTCTATGATTTACACAATAAAATGCATTAAGAATATAATTATTCTGCTCATAACTGACAAAGGATGGAATAATTGTGGTATCCCAGGATTTACTTTAGAAAATAAACTACTACTAACAGCAGGTTACTACAACAGGTAACTATGGCAACCATACTGTATAACAGTTAAGGTCACAATACTTTCACATTGGTGTGTTTTATAAACAGTGCTGTTCCATGGCTTGCAGATGTCTCTGTGTTTTTCTACCATTAGTGCTTTTTCACCTGGTTAGATTTTAGGTCAAGGGAGAGGGACCCGATATGTTTGGGGATTTTTTATGCTTTCCGTTCCATGTCACAGTGTTGGCCCTGCCATACCGCGGCACTGCTGTGGGGAGTTTAGCAACACGCAAACAAGTTTGACCACAAGCCCTCAGAGCCCTCAGGGCAGGGTGGAAAAAGTTATCTAATCCATTTGAAGAATAGCTTTGTGTAGCATGTGAATACTTATTCAGATACACTTACAAAGGGGAGGACACGTCATGGTTTTATCATAGTTTTGTGACTTCCTATAATTTTAACATATTCACTGTATTTTACTACACTGGACTTTAAAAATACAGTACATTAGTATGCTTTTATAAATGTTTTATTATAATATTGCAGATTATTCCTATGGCCCATTGCAAAGGTCCTTACTCTAGGATCCAGAAATCCACAAGGTCTTTAAGATTGCATCCAGCCTGTGCTCTTAAAGACTTAATTGAAGAAATTATCACTGTTCCCCGGTGTTCAGTCTCTGAGGAGTCACTGGTCCAGTGTAAGAACATTAAATGAAGTAAGCTACAGCAAAAGTACAGTAAAGTCTCAGTGAAAGTGTGAAAGCACTCTGATAAACTTTCATAAGGGTTTTTCCGAAGAGAATCACTTGCTTCTTAATGCTCAATATAAATTAGGCAGAACCAGACCTCCTGTCACACAGTAACCACTACTACACTGGTTTAGATGAGCTTATTGAAAGGGAATATTGCTAACTCCTGGTACAAAAACAGAACTACATGATAATGTTGTTTCCCTGTCACCTTTTCAGGTAAGATGAGATCACTTTATTAGCCATATATAATTTCTTGCATTAGGAATTTTTCTTTTCGCATACCCCAGCTTGCTCTCCATGAGACACACAGGCACACAGACAGGGAGAGAGAACTTTGGGGTCAGAGCGCAGGGTCAGGCATATATACAGCCCCCCTGGAGCAGCTGGGGTTAAAGGCCTTGCTCAGGGACCCAACAGAGTAGGATTCCTCTGCCAGCTGTGGGATTTGAACCAGCAACCTTCCAGCCACAGGAATTCTTAATGGTTCAGTATTAAGTTACATTATTGGAATGACCCAGAGGCTCTAATAGCACATTAGAGAGTACATCAATGCAGGAATGAGCTGTAGGATGCACAGTAAAGGGGGACTGTGGGAGGGAGGTCCTCAGGGAAGCACTGGAAGGTGGACAAGGGTGCTGTAGTCAGGAGTGTGTAGGTGTGGTTCATCCCCAGTGTTGACAGAGTGAGCAGAAACTGGCAGGAGACTGAACAGCCAGGCAACCAGTAGGATAAGAGCAGAAAGAGACAGGGTGTGAGGAGATGCAAGGGAATGCAGGTGATGAAGAGAGCAATAGGAAAAGACAATTATCTTGAATTGGCTGTAATTTGACAATGCAGACACATTAGCTAGCTTTTTTGTTGAAAGGTGAACATGCTGAGCTTGTTTGCAATTTCACACATAAACCATGGTCTCATCTCTGATTTACAGTGCAATCAGTTTACTTTCCTATCCTTTCATCATGCATTGCTACACTAGACAATACCAGGGCATATCACACTAAACATAACAAGAAAAGTATTACATAATATTTTAAATAATTCAAAGTAGTAATTTAGTTTAAAGTGCTTAGTTTAACCTTATTAAAATTACAGAATTACAAGAATGGATTTCATGAGGGCTGGCCTTCATTTTTTCGTCATTAAAAGTCCAGGAAAAGGTTCTTCATCTCCTTCAGAAAGGTTTGGAGGCTCCTCATCAGCCTCTCATATCTTCCTATTGGAACGACAGCACTTCCGTTAGAGAACATGGCGTGAGCCTTTAGGAGGAAACCAGAGCACCAGAAGAAAACCCACGCACACAAGTGGACAACAGACAAACTCCATGCAGATCACATGCCAGGAATTGAACCCAGAGCTCCAGCAGTGTGGAGCAGCAATGCTGACCACTGTGCCACCTTAGCCATCACATGGAACTGTATTTCTCACTTGGCAAAAGGAAGAGGACTCTTTAAAACACAAGTTTACTTCTTTCCAGGCGACGTCAGGAAATGGGACGCAAGGAAACACTGAATCCGATGACGCCACAGAAATCAGTCCTTTGGTCCAGGATGGGATCAGCCAGATCGAACAGGTAACCTAGTCTTCCACTTTACTGTGCTTCAAAATGTGTGTTTCAGGAGACAGTGCCCTTTACATTTCTCGGGCAAGATTTATTGCTCAAAGCTTTACGTTTTCTGCTCAATAGTGATAATAGACTGTGTATTTTTAGGGTGGCGCAAGAAATGGGGACCAGTTTTCTTCAGAGACTACCGGAATTGAAGCTATAGAAACTATTACTTCAGAGGATGGTAGCCTACAAAATGAGCAGGTAATCATGTTATCCCTGTTTAAAAATCATGGTATGTCCAGCGTGTGGAATGGATTTTTCACTCTGGGGAACTATCCTTCTAATTCATTTATAGGAGTTTGACCCAAATGTTTCAGTGCATAAAGAAGATAGTGGTGTGAAAGCCTTGTTGCGTGGAGCCAATGCAGATATGTTTTAACACTGCAACTGTATATTCTCTCAACAGAAAAGAAGGTCATGGCGCCAGCTACTGGATAAACCTGTCTTCTGGAAGTGCAAACTGTGGATGGTCATTTTGCTGGTTTTCATAGTACTAGCTACTACTTTTGCACTAAGCCTTGTGCTTTATTCAGGTACTGCCACATACAGTATATTGAAATGGGCTCTGTGCACTGCATGGTGTTTAGTGAGCACCTTTATGGTGTCTCTGGAACAACTTAAGAAGTGAACTGGCTGCTTTGCATTTAAGAATGACTAGAATGCAACAGCCTTGTTGGGCAAATCTCCCAAGATATTGGGCAGCAAATATTTAAGTAAGTGATTATTTCACTCTGGTGAATCATTTAAAAGCACAGGCCTTTGTGCTTCCTTGTGTGGAATGAAAACTAGTGCAGGATAGGTTTTGCTTCTGTTCTCAGATTAGACAGTTTCTGGTTCCAGATTTTAAAATACAAATGAAGATGGGTTTGGGGAAAAAAAGTGAAACAAAAAGTCAGTGTTTATTAAACTAGCAGACTTCGAAAGTATTTGTGCAATGCCATGGTAATTTGAAACAGATTATGACTACTGAGATGTCAGTTTAGGCCTTTTTTCCACTACAAACTTTGAGTTACATATTTTTTGGCTTCTTTCTAAATTTCCACAACAATATTTCAATGGAAAAAGAATTCTCCAGAACTAATGTTTTCATTCCAGATTCTCGCTCTTAAGTATCAAGATTGTGAAATTCAGAAATTTTGTCCTTCTTTAAAACAGGTTTCAAAATCTCCTATCTCATGTAAGAAACAACACAATTTTGATTGTAGCACTGTCAGAAATTGTTTCCCTCCTCACCCTGCAACTCACAACTGGCAACCCACTAAAGCTAAGCAGGTGTGAGCCTGGTCAGTACCTGGATAGGAGACCTCCTGGGAAAAACTAAGGTTGCTGCTGGAAGAGGTGTTAGTGGGGCCAGCAGGGGGTGCTCACCCTGTGGTCTATGTGGGTCCTAATGCCCCAGTATAGTGATGGGGACACTATACTGTAAACAGACGCCGTCCTTTGGATGAGACGTATAACCGAGGTCCTGACTCTCTGTGGTCATTAAAAATCACAGGATGTTTCTTGAAAAGAGTAGGGGTGTAACCCCGGTGTCCTGGCCTAATTTCCCATTGGCCCTTACCAATCATGGCCTCCTAATAATCCCCATCTCTGAACTGGCTTCATCACTCTGCTCTCCTCCCCACTGATAGCTGATGTGTGGTGAGCGTTGTGGCGGACTATTGCTGCTGTTGCATCATCCAGGTGGATGCTGCACATTGGTGGAGGGGAGTCCCCATTACCTGTAAAGCACTTTGAGTTGAGTGTCCAGAAAAGCGGTATATAAGTGTAAGCAATTATTATTATTATTATAATTATAACCTTATTGTGACTCCTGTCTTGTAGTTGTCTATGAGGATGAAGATGAAAAATTCAACCTGGAGTCATTTGTGGTGCCTCTGTGTTATAATGGGACTCTTAGACTGGTCAACAACACTTTTGCAGATTCTGAGCAGCATCAGGCATTATCAAGAGTCCTTGAAGAAAAAGTAAGATAGATGCATTTCCTTAAAGGTCAAAACATTACTAGCAGAGGGTACTTCTACACTGAAAAGTAAAATGAGAAAACACTTTGTTTTGATGTCAGATGTCAGGAAACCTCTTATATACCACTAAGAGCCAGTATTCCAGATTCCTAAATTCTCCTTTGTGTCCCTCTATCCTTTAATGACAGATAGGGTAGTGGTATATACAGTAGATATGTGTAGTGCAGTGAATTAGGCATCATTACTTAGTGCACTGCAGTGAGATTTGAGTCTGGGAGGATACAGTGATTATACAGTGACCTAATACTTTCTGAACAGCATCAGTTTATTTTGCACATTATTTCTGCTTTAATTTATGTTATTACTGTACATCTTATTACATCTGCTTCTGCCTAATTTCTGTCACAATACACCTAAATAGCTGATCAGTTAATAAGATGGGAACAATGCTATTAAACACTGTGTTCGGCAGCTGTCTGGAGACTTACAATTCCACACACCTGAATGAATAAACCCATTCAAACTCTGAAGAGTCTGAGTAATCCTCTAGATCAATTAGCCTAATCAAATAACAGCACAAAAATAGAAGAAAGGGGTATATACTAGGACTGAAAATAAGAAATGTATAACCATGTTATAAATCATTGTGGGATCTAAATTATACTGGGAAACATTGTAAGTCGGGGACTAGTCATTATATTGATAGACATTTTATTGTTGTCTATCAGTGGGCAGCACAGCTGTAGTGGATAATTGTGAGCAGCCCTGGGACATGCAGAGTAATTTACAGTATTGGAAATAAAACCTACAGGGGCCAAAAAGTAGTGTTTCTGTGTTTTTGAGGTATCACTAGATTATGTTGGAATGTTCACCAGAATGTCTTTACTGTATGTGGGCTGTTAGATAGCTGTGGTTTAAGTTGTACAGATTTATAGTGACAGTACTGTGGTTTTTGTGTGAATAAGAACTTGTCAGTTTTTACCTTGACTTTTCTGTGTTTTCTTAACCCTATGTAATTACTATGCTATTTTGTATTATGTAAGGCTATTGGTGTAGTATAGGGATGTCCATCTCTAGTACTGGAGGATTTCTAGGTTAATTGTTTCAGATAAGCCAATTAGTTGCTTTAGTTCTTTAAGAATCAGAATGACAGACATTAGACTCACCAGCTCTCCAGGGCCAGGATATGACAACAACATGGCAGCACAATGGGGAACAAAATCTGGCAAATGATAATTTTTTAATTATTTATGATTCAATTATTTTGTGTTTTACAGCTTTCAGGATTATACAGCTCTTCTCCAGCTCTGGGGCGATACTTTTCTAATGTTACCATTCACAACTTTAGGTAAGAGAAGTGTTAAAGTGCAGAAAAAATATCAACATACAGTATACTGTACACTGTTCTGTGAAAGATGATGCAGTAAGTTTGTCCTCACAGGCAGTTACCAAGTCACTGAGATACTATGCCTACATATTTGCCAGGAAAATCAGCTTCATCTCTCAGCAAACTTTCCCCCCTATTTAGCAGAAATTCTTCGTGTTTTGAGAATGCACTACATCGCAATGCTACTGTAGATCTCACATTATTATTACTATTAATATACATTACTATTCATTTATTTTAGCTAATAATGTCGGTTCAAAGCAATGTCTTGAGGATGGGATCCCCAAGACAAGTCTTTGAGCCCCAGTTTTAAAGATCATGGCCAATCTGTTTTGGAGCTAAAGTCACGTCAGAGAGATTTCAGATCAGCTCTTAGCATCCCCGTTATTTTTAAGGCACACTCAAGGAGCAGTTTGTCCTGCTTTGGGGACAGTAGACAAAAGTGTTCCGGTAACTCAAAGAGGTTTCACGAAGAAATAGAGGACAGTTCTTAATGTTGCACATATTAAGTCTGCTCTCAGTCACAGAAAAGGCTTTGCATCAAGTGTGAATAATGACTTTTTGCTGCAAAAAATATAAACTTGCACATTTTTTGTCATTCATCAGGCCACATTTCTCTGCAGTCCTTTCACTGCAGGGCTTTATGGCAAAATGAGAAAGAAATTAAAGAAGAAAATTGTGACCTCAAAAGTTAAAAAAAAAACTTTTTACATTGTTGAGCAGTAGAATATAAGTCCTGGTTCTTAAAATACTGATGCTGATACCAAAGTGAGACCTAGTAGGAGATGTTCCTGAGAGGACTTTGGTAAGGCTGTTATAAATCAGAACTTTATCAAGGCCATTTGTATGGTTTTTTTTTTCTCAATTCCATTTTTTAGTAATAACAGTGTCTCTACATCTTACTGGCTGAGATTCATGGTCCCCCGAGAGCACAGCCAGCTTGTTCGATACACACTGAGTGAGGAGGTGGTACTCAACATTTTCCGACAGTATGTGTATGATCAAGAACCGGAAGTGGAAGAACGCTTAAAGATTGACCCGTTATCTCTAACTCTAAAAGGTAAGGAGGCCTGGTTTGTATGTACAGTATCAACCAATTTATTAGAACACCTGATATTCTCTTTTATTGAGCATAAGCACATAAAAAAAACATAAACTTAAATCACAAATTAAGTCCAGTTATTTGATTATCAGCATCAGAAATGAGCATTTCTGGGGTCATTTTCTTTCTTGAAATCTGAAATCTGCGCCATTGGACACTATCCGGATGCTGCTGCATTGTGAATTGAAAAGATGTGCTTAGGCTGAAGGCATGACAGACTCCTTTCTACTGGAAACAGCCAACACCCACCTGCTAAAATGTAATTAACTGTCTGCAGCCCTTTGTGCTCCATTTCCTGCTGCTGTTTTTACATTGCATATATGGACATTACGATTATTATTATTATTATTATTATTATTATTACCTGTTGAAACAGATTTACTGTATTAATCTTTCACTCCAGAGTGTGAGAAGATGACAAACATGCTCAGCAAGGTATTGTGTTGGTGAAGCATTAATGTCAAAGAGTCCAGCAGATGCAGGCATTCTGAAACCTTTCAATTGTTCTTTATATTTCGTTGTTGTCATCCTTCTGAATCAAAAAGTACACCTTTCAGAATTCACTTAGTAACTTGTTGTCACATTACACTACGCATTACAATAATTATTATTATGTAACTGATTGCAGACTACAGTATTACTTAAAATAAAACTATACTGTAGTCACCTTACTAATGAGTGTGCAGAATAGGTTATAGTTACTAATTGTAATGACGAGTTCAGTTTAGCCTGCCAGGATTCAGTCCCTGCGCACACAGCATGACCCCCTGGACAGCAGATAGCTCTGCCAAAGACCAGGTTCTCTGCTGCAGCAAAGCTTTACTCAGAGGGGTGTGACGTCACTTCTGTAACTACAGTACATAGACACATGAGATGACTGAAGAATGTAAGGGTGAACTGAAGTCAGAAGTGGGCAGTATAGTGGCGCAGTGGTTAGCATTCCTTCCCAGCAGCTGTACTGAGGCCCTAGGTTCAATTCCAGACCTGGTGTGCTATCTGTGTAGAGTTTGTAGTACTCCCCATGTTTGCTCCATACTGGTTGATTAACTGGCCCTGGTGTGTGCGTCTGTGATTTTGTCTGTCTGCCTTGCGATGGACTAGGGCCCCATGCTGGGTGTAACCTGCCATGTAGTTCAGGTGGGTAGCTGCGTCAGCATGCATAGTCTGCAACGCAGCAAGACTAGGTTTATTCCATGCTGAAAAGAGAAGAGAGAAAACACAACGTTTTGGCTGTGAAGCCTCCTCACACCTGAAGAAGGCTTTATAGCTGAAATGTTGTGTTTTCTCTCTTCTCTTTTCAGCATGGAATAAACCTATTACTTGTTCCTTTGCAACCTACCATGTGCCCATTGCTTGCTGGAATAGGCTCCGGCTCCCCTGTGAACTTGAATTGGAAGAAACAGTTAGAAAATGGATGAATGAATTCTGAAGGATGTTGATTAAAGAAACCTTTTTCTTTCCACCTCTGTGTCTCTCATCCCACCTATCGTTCTTCCCTGGCTGGCTTAATATTCAGATAAAGGCTCCGTTTCTTTGCTAACAGTACTGTATGTAGCTGTATGTTTAATACGGCAGTTACAGTAAATCTGCAAATATTCCACTTTGGTTACAATGGGTTTTCTCTCCCGGGCTGCAGCATCAGAGGTTTGTTTTCCCAGGACAGGCTCTGTTTTGTCCCTTCAAAACAACAATCCGGGAAACTCCGAAGGTCAGTGACCTGGGTGAGACAGCATCTTTTTTTCTCCAAGTGTGTGTGTTTTTTTATGCTGCTCTGCAGACTGGTTAGTTATTTATTGCAGAAAGTTCATTCTTTCTCTCTGGTAACACCTCATGAGTTTTACTGAGTAGGCAATATTGTGTCTTTATATTCTATTCTGTACAAAACCAGTGATTTAATGTATGCTTTTTAAGTATGTATATTAATGGACAAATGAATCACATACTTTCTATTTACTACTTGAAGTGGTACTCCAGCTACTAATATATTTTGCTTTTGAAGATGAAAGAACTCAAAATTATTCTCAAAATACAATCAGTGAGCTCCAAAACAGCTACTGTATACCATGGTGCCATTTTGTGCCTTAAGTCGTAAAGTTATTTATTACGCTGGTAGACATTAACACATTTTTGTCCTCTAGATTTTAAACACAGCCTTAGAAACACCATAAATGAGACCATCATTGCTTATTTACTTTTGTTAGTTGTATGTGAATTTGTTCATCATTCTGCTAGTTACATAATTGTAATTCCTAATATATTAGGAATTAAATAGAAGTGTAGGCAAGCACAAAAGAGAAGAAGCTCCAGATAAACTGGTTGAAAAAGTTTGTTTTCCATCCATTATCAAAAAGCCTCTTATCCTGGGCAGGGTCAAGGTATCCTTGAGTGGAATACATAAGGTGTTGCTTTAATCCAATGGAGCTTCACATATAAAATAATGCATCAGTTCTTACATGTTTAAGATCATGAGTATAGGAAAATCAAATTGGTGTCTTTTGCGTAGCAAACCCAACCTAAAGAGACAATGGGGTGTTCTAATAAATTTATCCTCTACTGCAAATCGTATTGTCCATTTTAGAAAAAAACATACCACTGTACTTGGAGAAAGAATAAAAATGTAAAATTAAAAACAGAAAGGACTACTTGGATGACAATTCCTTTTTTTTTTTACAGTTGCCAAAGGGTATCAAAACATGAAGTGAGGTATGTCTGCTCTGTGTCTTTGTGCATTTATACCTGAGTGCATTCTATTCTTATATTGTAGGGTGCCCTCTTTCTTTTATTTCTTAAATGGAACCCGGGGTAAAAATTCAGAATGAAATCAGGACTAAGGTAGGGGTTCCCTGGTTCAGTGCTGGAGCTCCACAGTCCAGATTTTCGTTCCAACTCAGCTGTTAATGCCCCAGTTGAACAAATCATTTGCTAAATTGGAGCAGGTTAATGGCTCTTCTCACCCCTTCTGTCACGATATTAGTTCCCCCTCCTTAAGGGTGCTCCAGCCCTTTCACTAAAGACTTTATTCTATGCACCTGCTCCCTATTCCCAGCCCACCTTAAAAGCCAGGCGCTGACGCTCTTCCGGGCTCTGCATCTGATTTCCATATCGTGCGAGTCCGGGACCAGGAA